TGTTCCATCCGTTGTACTTATCGACGCGATGGAGCACTTTGGACATTTGGATTCATATTTTGGAGTTGCACCAAACAGTTAACTGAATTGTTAAATTTTTTACTGTTCATATCAATGCTCCGAAATGTGAAACCGATTTTATAGGGTTGCTACGCAACCCATAAAAATTCATGAATGGGAGCATGACCAAGGTAGTTCTATACAGGTGTAGGTGTGACGCTTTAGTTCTACACAAGGAGGCAAGAAACACCTGTTCCCCCCCATTCCCATGGATTTTGGCTCCCTTCCTCCATTGGCTCCTCTCCTCTCCAACCAACATGATCATCACATCAATTGTGGTCTCGTCATTTTCAGACCGCATTCCTAGAAAGTAGCCAACACCAGTGACCTGCGGACACCCAGCACATGTATTCGGGCATCGTGATCCAGAGTCACTATTTAAAGCTCATGTCCCAAATTAGTCAGCTCGGGACCAAACTGGGCCTAGTTTGATATGTTTTTTTGCCCAAAAAAAGTGCCCTAACCCTTGCTTCGCCATAGAAGTGACGCGAAGTTGCTCTTGCTGAATCTACGGTTGAAATCGTACTTTGTAAATTGGGACTCAATGTGTTATAGAGTCTCAGCCGTCGATTGGCCTTTCCAACTCAGGCTCGCGAAATTCAGTGAAGCTGGGTTCCAAATTCCACCTACGGCTATACTTGTGATTCCATTTTGGGACTTCGTGTGTCCCAGCGTCTCAGCCGTCAGATTCAAACTGGACCCAATTTGAACTAGACCCAGTTTTCTCACGAAACCACTCGCGAAATGAACAAAGTTTTTCCTTTTGGGAATTTATATGCTGGGTAACTCTTACTGCTCGTTTTCCCGATTCAGTCACTCTTTTCTCATCCCAGTCAATGTTTTATCGAATCGAAATCAGCAGCGTCAAACTTTTTGTTCAGTTTGATGCCGCATGGCAAAATCTTTCAACACGCGTTCGAAAATGGCGAAATCCAATAAAATAGGGAGTAGAAACTCTATCTGAAAACAACATTCGATTTCACTCACATTCAAATTTCGCGGTTGATTATATTCTCGAAGACTGGCTAGCCATGTGTTGTCTTCTTGTGGCTAAAAACAATGAGCAGACAAAGCGCACACAAATTGCACAACTGAACGTGTGCGAATTTACCGGTTACGAAAATCCCCGAATGGAAAAAACATTATTTTCGTTGTAGAAATATATGAAGCCATTCTTCAAGTTGTAAACTAGACTTATGTCACTATTTCTGACGTTTTGTTTTTCAGGATGCCCATAAAACCCAAACCCATCGGAGCCCGCATGCGACTCGCGGTGACATCAATCATAAACGCGCAGCTTTGTGCGTCTTTAAGGTTGATGCCACCCCAAGTCAAATATCGGGCCGCTGTGGGTTTTATTTTGTTTTAGGCTGCCCTAATTGACATTTTCGTATATATGCGGGCTGCTGCTGGTTTTATTTTGTTTTAGGCTACCCTAATCGATATATCTGCATCTCAATAACGCGTCGCGGAGCTGTGCGCGAATGTAAACCGGGACAGAATCCTCTACTAGCTCTGAAGTATTCTCTACAAATTTTGGACGTTACGTATTTATCTCTCGATGTTTTGGGACATCGCATTTCTGGGACACGTGTTGAAAGATTTTGCCATGCGGCATAAAACTGAACAAAAAGTTTGACGTTGCTGATTTCGACTCGATAAAACATTGACTGAGATGAGAAAACAGTGACTAAATCGGGAAAATGAAGAGTAAGAGTTACCCAGCGTATAATTTCCCTTTCTTTTTTCGCACCCAATCATTTCATTTGTTTTCGCCACGTGCCCAAACCAACTACCTCGTATTGACTTCGAGGAACTAATTTGGGATCTGGGTAGGTAATCCAAACTCACTGTGACATTCCAGAATACTATATGAGAACCATGTGCCTGAATTAAACCCCCACAAGGCCTTCCGGCACCTAGCGCTTTTTTGCCACTCCGATAAAGCCAAGTACCCAGAGCCGCTTCAGAGTCGTTCTTCGCTACCCTAATTAAATCTCGGTACAGACCATGGAAAAACACGGGCAGACACTTTCAAGTTTCGTTTCAACAAAAGTTACAATTAGGACCTGGTGAAAGGTTTGCGTGCCGACGCAACGCATCGCCAGCTGTCACGCCATGCTGGCAAATTACCGAAATTTTCCGTGCCTTGGCACGACCTCGCACGGCCCAATGGTCTTCGGAGCATTAAGTTGAGGCACGGCGTGCCATGCAACGCGCCAAAATCGCGAATGTGACGAATTCATTTCAGGTTTGTAATGTTTTCGCTACGTCCGTAACCACGCCGAACCAAAATTTTCTCGCCGTAGATAATTCGTGAGGAGATGGGTTTCTGTGTGTGCCATGGGTTTGTGTGTCGTGTGTTCGGGAAAATGGTTTGCGATCTGGGTTTTCCTGTTTGTGGAGCATTTGGTAACTCAGGTCTTTGGCGAAGGTTTTTTTTTTTTTTTCTTCCTTTTCTTTTCTTTTTTCGCGTGAGTTTCTTGAAGCCTCTGAGTTTCTTGGTTTCTTCGAAGCCGGTGCCAGGCTGGCAGGTGCACCGGCGAGCAGTGAATCGTGCGACCTCGTGCCGTGCCAAGTCGATGCTCTGGATTTTTCAGTGATTTCACTACATCCTTAGCCACACCCAACAACGCAATCCCAAGGCGTGTGCTTGTCTGGAGCAGGCCTGTCGATTCAAGGGAAAATTCGCTTAATGCCCTGAACATTCCGGGTAAACCGTCCGTCAGGGTCCGACTTTTCCGTGTTTGATTCGGGACTAGCCCGTGATGGTTAAGGGTTTCGTTAGGCCCTTTCCCGGATTCGTTCAGGGCGGAGTTGAGGCCTTTCCCTGATTTTCGTAACGGGGTCTAGACATACCCTGACCTAGGCATATCTTCCTCGCCCACCCACACCACCCCACTTTCCCCTTCGGCTAGTATAATTTGGCTAAGTCCTCCAAACCAGAGACATTCTTCCCATACCCCAACCGAACATTGGAAAATCGATGAAGTTCCCCACACCCGCAGACATTCCTCCCACCCCCCTCGCACCCCCAGAGAATTCGACAAGCCCCCACAGCCCGAGACGATACTCCAACATCCCCTCCTCCCACACCCCCACTTCCCCCTCCCCCATCACCGGTTGTTTTTGTTTTGTTTTGTTTTTTTTGCTGTCTCCAAAGCGAGTCACAAGCCCCTCCCACAAGACACATATGAATAACTGAGAAATGTGCACTACTAACAGATTTGGCATACAGATTCTCATGCGAAAATAGGTTGGCCTCCCCACTCAGCACCTTGCCTATCTTGATGTATGATTACGAAGTTTTTTTTTCTCTCCGGCGAAGTACAGACTCCGGCGCAGCCCTGATTTTAAGTTCTGGTTTGGACCCCAGCCCGTACGCTTCAGGGCTCAGTTAGGTCGCTTTCCGGAAATTTCAGGGCTGTTTTCGGGGGACCTCAGCCACCCAAATATTGGTCCCAAACCAATCTACAGCCCTGGTCTGGAGCTTGACGCAATAAAGCCCGAGTGCTGTCTTTACACCTTCGACTGGTTCAACCAGACAGAGCCGAGACCGAGACCCGCATTTAGGTCGTCCGGCCAGTCAGAAGAGCACAGGGTATCGTTTACTATAAGTCCTGAAAATGTGGAGTCTTTCGGGAAGAAAAGAAAGCATGGTGACGAGAAGATGCTTGCGTGGGACACCCTCACGCTAGACGAGAAGCATAATGCGAAAGCAGGGAAGGGACTGCTTGTGCATTTTTGCTCTTGTGCGCATCCTTCATGTGTGGGTGGGATGGTGAAATCTCTTGTGCGAGGGGGACGTGAGCTGGAAAATCTCGTCTGTTGGTTTGACTGTCGCCACCAAATGCCCCTGGCAATGGCATTTCCTGGAGATACTGTACAGGCCTGATGAGTAGGCGACTGTTGTAAGGGTTCTTCGCACAAGAACTAACCAACCACAGGCTGAGGCTTCGCTTCGTTCCTGCTGGTAACCAGGCTGCACGAATCTGCGTGCTGGACACGATTTTCGCTCCTCCCCAAACCCACCCCACAAAAGACCAGCTCACCGCACGCCAGGCCTTCAACGCATTTCTCATGAAACTGCCGAGCCTAGCTCGGTGAGCCCAACACAACTCCCCTCCCCGCCTCGCGCACCGCCAATTGAAGTTGTTGCCCCGCAAATCCCACAACTGCTGTCCCCTCCCCACCCTCCGTCGCCAACCTGTACAGTGACTCCAGGTGCCCTTCCCGGCCAGGCCATCGGAAGACAGGGTGGTTACCCCATGTCCCCTGCATTTCAAGCTACAGTTTATAAAGCATCGGTTCAGTACGATCTGGTGACAACCAGAGCCCGTGTGGATAGCCGTCATGGGCCTGACAATTTCATGATCCTATGACTTCGGGCATCCAACAAATGTGTGACAGTTTTATGGGGCATCGACATGATTGTATGACAACTACCAAAGCACCGCCTCCGACTACTCTCTCTCAGTCACCACGTGCGGACTCGACACAATTTATACACAAATACATTCCTTTTAGCTCACACCCTCCCACTCACCGTGTCCCTTTGGGACATGACTGCGGAACTCGCAAACCACTATGCACTCCATGGTTCTGGAGGCTAGGCAGCAAAGTGGCTTTGCATTTACCTTGAAGCTGCCCCCGAAAAACGTACACACCTCAACTCAAATCAAGGCTGGAAGATTTAGCTTGTCAGGTCGGTGCTTGGCTGCGACCGTGCGGCTGTGCCACCATGCTCCACCTGCTGTTACGGAGCGGTTCAACACGAGAAGGGAGCTCCTCCTCCCTTTCAAACTCTTCCCCGCACCTCCCCTGAACCCAGGGGCCTGCCCCGACACGACCCCACCCCCACGCCACCGCGACCTCCCCCTCCCCCTGCGGCTGACAAACATTTCCCTGGAGAGATCGTGGAGGGCCTAGGGGTAGGCTAGCTTGCAGCAGCATTCTGACACCTACCCTCGCCCCCCACCAGTCTGCTGACTCGTCGTGACCATACAGCAACTGTAAAATCAGGCCACCAACCCTAATGCATTCCCTAAGCTCCTAAGCTCGCCGTACGGAAAGTATGTCCGCACCGTCACCCGCGCGCCTCGATTCGCTCCTTACATCGTCCTCTTAGTTACCATCCCTAGCGCTGTTCCAGACGGGTCGCCATCGTGCTGCCAGTGACGTATCCGTTCCAATCTACATCCGTGTAGTTTTCCGTCCGCTAGAGTTTCCATCTGCGGCGCTCTGTCAGCCTAACGTAAACAGAATGGCGTTCGACGGCCGACAAAGAAGTTGACGCGCCGTCAGCGAATTGCCGTTTAGGGTTTCCGCATCCAGTCATCGAACCCTGCTCACCATCTACGCGACTCCTCCGAACCGATTAATCAGGACGAAGCCGTCAACCCTAATAATCTCAGTCAGGCCTCCCGTCGCCCTTCGAGACCCGCCTCTCTCCTCCATTTAATTCATTCGATGGCGTGCCGGCAACAAAGATGGCGACCGTCAGTATCCGTACTCGCTACAGTAGTCGCGCTACTATTACTACTCCAAGCGAGCCGCGTGGAGGCAATACGGAGAGCGGAGCTGCAGCGAGCCATCGGGCAGATCAACCGGCGAGCGGGGTTCGCGACCGTTAAAAACGTCATCAGCCAATGGCGTGCGTTCCCCTTCCCCATCTCATCTCGCTCCCCGCCCCCGCCCCCGCCCCCTCCCTTCCCCCCCCCACCCCCACCGCAGCTCCACACTTCTTCCTTCCTCATCCTCTCCCCTGTACGAGCCCCTTACAACTCTCCCCGTGCTGCGTATTCCGTTGCTTCCCTTACGTCGACCGCACACTCTGGCTCACTCGCTTTTTCCCTCCCGCTCCCCCTCCTCCCCCTCCTCCCCCTGCCCACACGCTCCGCCTCTGTTACTGCTCATCCCCCTCTCCCGCCCCGCCCTCCCTCTCCCGCCATCTCTCCCGCCGTCTCTCTCGCCACCTCTCCCCATCTCCCCTCGTGGTCCCGCTTCCCTCCCCCCCCCCCGCCGCTCTCGATGCGGGCCGCTGTCAGCGTCTCGTTTCCCTCGTCGCTCCCTCGCGAGTTTCCCGCCGCTCGTCCGCCCTAGGTCGCGCGGTCGATCCCTCCCATGCACCCCGCTCGCGATTGCCTTCCCCCCGCGTTGCCTCGCTTTCCCCTCCCCTTCCCTCCCCTTCCGTCCCCTTCGCCTACCGTGCTCGTGTCACCTCTCCCCCTGTCCACCCCAGCGCATTTCCTTACCTCCACAACCCAGGCGCCCCCCACCCCTTCCCACCCTCCCCAAGCGCTGGTTTCTCCTGTCTTGAGCCCCGTTTCCGCCCTAAAATGCCAAAAACCTTCAAACAATCCCCACCTGAGATGCCATGCGCTGCGCTCCCTCCTTCCCCTCCTCTCGTCCCACGCTACATCCCCCCATATCACTCTTCCCCCCCATGCTACATCCCCCCCCCCATATCACTCTGCCGCCCCGTATCTCTTATGGCTGATCGGTGATCCCCGGATTTTATTCAAGTCTAGGCTACGCTGTACAAGGGCTCCCCCTCATGCTCCTCCAGGCGGTGCTCCAATGCCTTCAAGGCTCTTCTGGCCATCCCGTCCTCCTCCCCTCTCTCCCACTTCCCTCACCTCTCCTCCCCACCCTTTCTCCCCCCGCCCCCTCCCCCTTCCCCGCCCCCCCTGCAGTATCCGCGCTCACCTCGCTGTCTGACGTCACCATCCTCCTCCCCCTCTCGCCCGAGGTCATCTCCTTCATGTCCACCGCCTTCTCCCCCGCCAAGCGCGATCAAATCCTCGCCTTCCACGTCATCACCAAGCGCTACTCCTACGCCAATCTCACCGCGCTCTGGGGGGGTGCGGAGCTGGAGACCCTTGAGGGCATGCCACTGATCAAACGCGGGCCCAACTTCCAACCGCTGACACTGTTTCAAGGGCGGCAGCTGGTGCCGTCGCTGGTGATCGTGCCGAATATATTTGTCGGGTCTACGTTCACGATCCATGGCATCAGTACAGTGCTAATCCCCCCAGACTTATGACCATAAAGGTTTGTGCAAAAAAGGAGCTTTACCATATACCATAGCTAACACACTAATGGCCTACACAAACGAGTAGCTGTACTATTGCATGAGATTTGTTTGTAGCTCGATTTGAATAGGACTCAACACTTCGTTGGGTTGGGACAACACAGCTTGTGTGAAAGAATAATACCACATCCACCCTTGATGCCATGGAGGAAAGGCACATGTTTGTGTGGGCACGCATGTGGTGTGGAAACAGAGTGGCCCACGGGGCATGCATGCAGCAGACAGCCAGACATTTCAGGTGCGGTGATTGAGGTACTACTGCAGTTGCCTCTTCAGCAATGGAGCATCGTATTTCTCCAGCAACTATACCTAAGAGATCTGCGGAAGAGAATTAAATGGACATTCCTTGAATCAAGCTCACTCTTGTGACGAGGATAATACAACGGATGACTCAGTTTGTTGTGACGAGCCTGACTGACACACCCACCACCAAACCTCAATCGCCGGTATATTCCACCCAGCCAAGCTCTCCCGTCATCGACGCAACTCACCTTGCTCTCTTCCCCGCACCCCGACGTGACCTGACCCACACTTCCATGGTCAATCGCCAGACCGTGAAACGCTCACCACCACACACTGCATTGTAGTCAGGGCGTGTCCAGCGTGTTCTTATACTATTCACTTTGCATATCAGATACGAAATTTCAACCTGGTAACCCGAAATGTCGTGTCCATTCGGACACGCACGAGAAATTGGCAGTTTTGGCGGACACCCTCCAAGTGTGCCCACAGACGTGGGCCGCACATTTCCGAACCGAATGGAGATCAAGCCCAAATTATACACACGGCAGAAACGTCCAGATCCCGGCTGGCGAAAATTTGAACGCTTACAGTCGCCAGGCTTTCGAGAGTCATGCGAAGCACCAGGCGGGGCCTCTTCCGGGGGCGAAATTCGGTTACCCTGCTGTTTTCGCGTGTCAGTCTGTTATGTGCGCGCTGCGCACCCGCTCATTTGTCGAGACACGGGCGGGACACGTGTCCGTGCGTTTTGCTGTTGATACTGTAGGTGTACCTCAACACATTTCCACTTGGCGTTTCAATATTTCGGCATGTTAAAAAAACGTCAAAAACTGGTGTTGGGGCAAAATGAACGCGCTGGACACGCCCTCACGATGTGAAACGGGCTCTTTTGCTGACTGTGTATAGTAGTCAGCCCAGGTATGCGGCGGTCTACGCCAGTCATCACCGTGAGTTTAGGATTCGTAGGTGGTGTACAGATGGATTGCAGAAGTCGTTTGTCTGAGGATTAATCTCGATCGAAGTCCTCTGAGAAAAAGCATGCACCTCGTGTCTACTGAGCCCTCTAGTTCCGTTCTAGTGTCTCTCCCCGTGGTAGTACCTCTCAGTTTCTGCAAAGGCCAAACTTCCTACCATGCGAGCTCAAGAGGGTTCTGAGGCGGATGAAGAGCCGCCGACCTCGTCGGGGTTCGAGCTGCCTCTCACCAGTCAGCCTTTTCTCAATTGGCAATTAAAGCGTCCGCCATGGTGCTTCGCGATACCGACTCCCGTACTCATCGCCTTAGCAGTCATTCTCGCCTGCGAGACTCTCTTTTACGCGGAATTCCCCGTCTCCTTCAGTCGGCCTCATGCGGCTGTTATCGAATTCGTCGGTGACACTCATATCGAGGACCGCGACAGCGCGTGGCTGGCGTCCGTCGAGATGAAACGGACGAAGCTAAACTTCTCGAATTCGTGCGTGGACGTTCTGCGCGGTCACTTCGATACGAAATTCGCTTATGCTCTAAGCGGAAATGACACTGTAGAGGATCCAACGCCGAGAGTTACAGGCTGTGACGCCAGCCTGTGTTTCGCGATGCAGCAATGGGCTCGATTAGCGAGAGAACGGGAGTTACAGAGTAACCGCAGCAGCAGCGATCCCGAAGTCCGCTTATTCGGCTCCGTAGCGAGCTCCTTCTTTCGGGGGATACTTCCACGCACATCAGTAGCCGAAAAACACCTGACCTATCTTAACGACCCGTTAAAAGCCGACCCGCTACCAGAGGAGGAGGTGGAGCGGCAGCAGTCGGCCGGCGTGGGGCAAATCTGCACGGAGGCGTGGAAGCGGGGCGTGCTGGAGCGGCTGGCGAGCAGCAAATACGCGCGGCAGATGCTGGCGGACAACCACACGCGCACGGAGAACATCACGGCTGGCGTTGACGCCGTGTGCGCGCGGGTGAAGGAGGTGGAGGAGGACCTGCTAAACAGGAGTGGCAGTGGCAGTGGCAGTGGCAGTGGCAGTGGCAGTGGCAGTGGCAGTGGCAGTGGCAGTGGCGGTGGCAGTGGCAGTGGCAGTGGCAGTGGCGGTGGCAGTGGCGGTGGCAGTGGCGGTGGCAGTGGCGGTGGCAGTGGCGGTGGCAGTGGCGGTGGCAGTGGCGGTGGCAGTGGCGGTGGCAGTGGCAGTGGCAGTGGCAGTGGCGGTGGCAGTGGCGGTGGCAGTGGCGGTGGCAGTGGCGGTGGCAGTGGCGGTGGCAGTGGCGGTGGCAGTGCCACATCATCATGTGGTGACTGGCCTGAGGAGTGCTGGCCCGTGCCTCACATGCCCTTCTCCCTGCTCTCTGTATGCCCCATGCCTCACATGCCCTTCTCCCTGCTCTCTGTATGCCCCATGCCTCACATGCCCTTCTCCCTGCTCTCTGTATGCCCCATGCCTCACATGCCCTTCTCCCTGCTCTCTGTATGCCCCATGCCTCACATGCCCTTCTCCCTGCTCTCTGTATGCCCCATGCCTCACATGCCCTTCTCCCTGCTCTCTGTATGCCCCATGCCTCACATGCCCTTCTCCCTGCTCTCTGTATGCCCCATGCCTCACATGCCCTTCTCCCTGCTCTCTGTATGCCCCATGCCTCACATGCCCTTCTCCCTGCTCTCTGTATGCCCCATGCCTCACATGCCCTTCTCCCTGCTCTCTGTATGCCCCATGCCTCACATGCCCTTCTCCCTGCTCTCTGTATGCCCCATGCCTCACATGCCCTTCTCCCTGCTCTCTGTATGCCCCATGCCTCACATGCCCTTCTCCCTGCTCTCTGTATGCCCCATGCCTCACATGCCCTTCTCCCTGCTCTCTGTATGCCCCATGCCTCACATGCCCTTCTCCCTGCTCTCTGTATGCCCCATGCCTCACATGCCCTTCTCCCTGCTCTCTGTATGCCCCATGCCTCACATGCCCTTCTCCCTGCTCTCTGTATGCCCCATGCCTCACATGCCCTTCTCCCTGCTCTCTGTATGCCCCATGCCTCACATGCCCTTCTCCCTGCTCTCTGTATGCCCCATGCCTCACATGCCCTTCTCCCTGCTCTCTGTATGCCCCATGCCTCACATGCCCTTCTCCCTGCTCTCTGTATGCCCCATGCCTCACATGCCCTTCTCCCTGCTCTCTGTATGCCCCATGCCTCACATGCCCTTCTCCCTGCTCTCTGTATGCCCCATGCCTCACATGCCCTTCTCCCTGCTCTCTGTATGCCCCATGCCTCACATGCCCTTCTCCCTGCTCTCTGTATGCCCCATGCCTCACATGCCCTTCTCCCTGCTCTCTGTATGCCCCATGCCTCACATGCCCTTCTCCCTGCTCTCTGTATGCCCCATGCCTCACATGCCCTTCTCCCTGCTCTCTGTATGCCCCATGCCTCACATGCCCTTCTCCCTGCTCTCTGTATGCCCCATGCCTCACATGCCCTTCTCCCTGCTCTCTGTATGCCCCATGCCTCACATGCCCTTCTCCCTGCTCTCTGTATGCCCCATGCCTCGCATGCCCTTCTCCCTGCTCTCTGTATGCCCCATGCCTCGCATGCCCTTCTCCCTGCTCTCTGTATGCCCCATGCCTCACATGCCCTTCTCCCTGCTCTCTGTATGCCCCATGCCTCACATGCCCTTCTCCCTGCTCTCTGTATGCCCCATGCCTCACATGCCCTTCTCCCTGCTCTCTGTATGCCCCATGCCTCACATGCCCTTCTCCCTGCTCTCTGTATGCCCCATGCCTCACATGCCCTTCTCCCTGCTCTCTGTATGCCCCATGCCTCACATGCCCTTCTCCCTGCTCTCTGTATGCCCCATGCCTCACATGCCCTTCTCCCTGCTCTCTGTATGCCCCATGCCTCACATGCCCTTCTCCCTGCTCTCTGTATGATGCCCCATGCCTTCCCATGCCCCCTCAATGCCCTTCTCCCTGCTCTCTGTATGCCCCATGCCTCACATGCCCTTCTCCCTGCTCTCTGTATGCCCCATGCCTCACATGCCCTTCTCCCTGCTCTCTGTATGCCCCATGCCTCACATGCCCTTCTCCCTGCTCTCTGTATGCCCCATGCCTCACATGCCCTTCTCCCTGCTCTCTGTATGCCCCATGCCTCACATGCCCTTCTCCCTGCTCTCTGTATGCCCCATGCCTCACATGCCCTTCTCCCTGCTCTCTGTATGCCCCATGCCTCACATGCCCTTCTCCCTGCTCTCTGTATGCCCCATGCCTCACATGCCCTTCTCCCTGCTCTCTGTATGCCCCATGCCTCACATGCCCTTCTCCCTGCTCTCTGTATGCCCCATGCCTCACATGCCCTTCTCCCTGCTCTCTGTATGCCCCATGCCTCACATGCCCTTCTCCCTGCTCTCTGTATGCCCCATGCCTCGCATGCCCTTCTCCCTGCTCTCTGTATGCCCCATGCCTCGCATGCCCTTCTCCCTGCTCTCTGTATGCCCCATGCCTCACATGCCCTTCTCCCTGCTCTCTGTATGCCCCATGCCTCACATGCCCTTCTCCCTGCTCTCTGTATGCCCCATGCCTCACATGCCCTTCTCCCTGCTCTCTGTATGCCCCATGCCTCACATGCCCTTCTCCCTGCTCTCTGTATGCCCCATGCCTCACATGCCCTTCTCCCTGCTCTCTGTATGCCCCATGCCTCACATGCCCTTCTCCCTGCTCTCTGTATGCCCCATGCCTCGCATGCCCTTCTCCCTGCTCTCTGTATGCCCCATGCCTCACATGCCCTTCTCCCTGCTCTCTGTATGCCCCATGCCTCACATGCCCTTCTCCCTGCTCTCTGTATGCCCCATGCCTCACATGCCCTTCTCCCTGCTCTCTGTATGCCCCATGCCTCACATGCCCTTCTCCCTGCTCTCTGTATGCCCCATGCCTCGCATGCCCTTCTCCCTGCTCTCTGTATGCCCCATGCCTCACATGCCCTTCTCCCTGCTCTCTGTATGCCCCATGCCTCACATGCCCTTCTCCCTGCTCTCTGTATGCCCCATGCCTCACATGCCCTTCTCCCTGCTCTCTGTATGCCCCATGCCTCGCATGCCCTTCTCCCTGCTCTCTGTATGCCCCATGCCTCGCATGCCCTTCTCCCTGCTCTCTGTATGCCCCATGCCTCACATGCCCTTCTCCCTGCTCTCTGTATGCCCCATGCCTCACATGCCCTTCTCCCTGCTCTCTGTATGCCCCATGCCTCACATGCCCTTCTCCCTGCTCTCTGTATGCCCCATGCCTCGCATGCCCTTCTCCCTGCTCTCTGTATGCCCCATGCCTCACATGCCCTTCTCCCTGCTCTCTGTATGCCCCATGCCTCACATGCCCTTCTCCCTGCTCTCTGTATGCCCCATGCCTCACATGCCCTTCTCCCTGCTCTCTGTATGCCCCATGCCTCGCATGCCCTTCTCCCTGCTCTCTGTATGCCCCATGCCTCGCATGCCCTTCTCCCTGCTCTCTGTATGCCCCATGCCTCACATGCCCTTCTCCCTGCTCTCTGTATGCCCCATGCCTCACATGCCCTTCTCCCTGCTCTCTGTATGCCCCATGCCTCACATGCCCTTCTCCCTGCTCTCTGTATGCCCCATGCCTCACATGCCCTTCTCCCTGCTCTCTGTATGCCCCATGCCTCACATGCCCTTCTCCCTGCTCTCTGTATGCCCCATGCCTCACATGCCCTTCTCCCTGCTCTCTGTATGCCCCATGCCTCGCATGCCCTTCTCCCTGCTCTCTGTATGCCCCATGCCTCACATGCCCTTCTCCCTGCTCTCTGTATGCCCCATGCCTCACATGCCCTTCTCCCTGCTCTCTGTATGCCCCATGCCTCACATGCCCTTCTCCCTGCTCTCTGTATGCCCCATGCCTCGCATGCCCTTCTCCCTGCTCTCTGTATGCCCCATGCCTCGCATGCCCTTCTCCCTGCTCTCTGTATGCCCCATGCCTCACATGCCCTTCTCCCTGCTCTCTGTATGCCCCATGCCTCACATGCCCTTCTCCCTGCTCTCTGTATGCCCATGCCTCACATGCCCTTCTCCCTGCTCTCTGTATGCCCCATGCCTCACATGCCCTTCTCCCTGCTCTCTGTATGCCCCATGCCTCACATGCCCTTCTCCCTGCTCTCTGTATGCCCCATGCCTCGCATGCCCTTCTCCCTGCTCTCTGTATGCCCCATGCCTCGCATGCCCTTCTCCCTGCTCTCTGTATGCCCCATGCCTCACATGCCCTTCTCCCTGCTCTCTGTATGCCCCATGCCTCACATGCCCTTCTCCCTGCTCTCTGTATGCCCCATGCCTCGCATGCCCTTCTCCCTGCTCTCTGTATGCCCCATGCCTCACATGCCCTTCTCCCTGCTCTCTGTATGCCCCATGCCTCACATGCCCTTCTCCCTGCTCTCTGTATGCCCCATGCCTCGCATGCCCTTCTCCCTGCTCTCTGTATGCCCCATGCCTCGCATGCCCTTCTCCCTGCTCTCTGTATGCCCCATGCCTCACATGCCCTTCTCCCTGCTCTCTGTATGCCCCATGCCTCACATGCCCTTCTCCCTGCTCTCTGTATGCCCCATGCCTCACATGCCCTTCTCCCTGCTCTCTGTATGCCCCATGCCTCACATGCCCGTCTCCCTGCTCTCTGTATGCCCCATGCCTCGCATGCCCTTCTCCCTGCTCTCTGTATGCCCCATGCCTCGCATGCCCTTCTCCCTGCTCTCTGTGTGCCCCATGCCTCACATGCCCTTCTCCCTGCTCTCTGTATGCCCCATGCCTCGCATGCTCTTCTCCGAGCACCGTCATCCGTCCAGCATCACCTATCATTCCTCTCATTGGTCGCCTCGCCTGCGTGCCATAGCTTGCCCTCCTTATAGCCCCGCCTGATGTTGCAGTCGACTCAAAAGCGTTCGTATGTCCTCCTCCCTTTTTCTCTTCCCCCTCGCTCCCCGGCCCCCCAGGACTTCCCTTGCCGCTTTTACCTGGTGTCAGAGGAGCTCAGGTCCAAGGCCCACCAACTCGGCTCACACTGTGCCGCTTTCTTACCTCCCATTCTCACTGCGGACTCTCCCCCACCCCCCCCAGAACTTCCCTCGGCGCCAGACCCTGGTGTTCGCCATATCGGACGAGCAGCTGAGCAGCGCACGCGCCTTCTCTTTCTCTCTCTATCCCTTCTCTCTCCCTTCTGCTTCTCTCTCTCTCTTCTCCTCTCTCCCTTCTCCTTCTCTCTTTCTACTCCTCTCTCCCTTCTCCTTCTCTCTCTCTACTCCTTCTCTCTCCCTTCTCCTTCTCTCTCTCTACTCCTCTCTCCCTTCTCCTTCTCTCTCTCTACTCCTTCTCTTTCCCTTGCCCTTCGTCATTGCATGCTGCCTGGGACTTGCTCCCCGTCCCCCCCCCATCAGGGCATCCCCTAGCGCAAGTACCCTAGTGTTTGCCATGTCAGAGGAGCTCAGCTCCAAGTCCCTCCAAGAACTCGGCTCACACTGTGCCGCATTCTTCTCTCCGCTTCTCCCCCCTTCTCTCCCCTTGCCCCCCCCCCCCAGGACTTCCCCCGGCGCAAGTACCTGGTGTTCGCCATGTCAGAGGAGCAGCTCAGCAACGCACGCGCCCACATCATCGAGGCCGCCCGCCTGGCGCAGATGTCCAACCGCATTCTCGTGCTGCCAAAGGTGGGTTATCTGGGGAGATGGAGAGCTATAGGGTAGTGGGACAGTGGGACACGCGGTCACAGGGAGCAGGCGAGCCACGCCAGAAGCCACATCATCGAGGCTGCTTGCCTGGTGCAGATAGGCCAACGCCGCGCCACAGGGCCACAGGGCGCCACAGGGCGCCACAGGGCGCCACAGGGCCACAGGGCGCCACAGGACGCCACAGGGCCACAGGGCGCCACAGGGCGCCACAGGGCAACAGGGCGCCACAGGGCGCATGATGGGATTGTCCTTGTGCACTGCGTGTGACCTGACGAACAGGGGTGGATGCCTCCATCCACGCCCTGTTTGTGCCACGCCACACCTATTCTCAGCCCCACCAGGCGAGCCGCAGCCACCTGTCTCTCGGCCGTTCTTTCCCCTATGGGCCTACTGGGACCTGTCCAAGCTAGCAGCCACCTCCGAGTGGGCCTCCATCTGTCTCGCCTGTACCGCATCCCACCCTGCTGCACCCCGCCCCACCAGGCGAGTCGCAGCCACCTGTCTCTGGGCCGCTCGCTCCCCCTGTGCGCCTACTGGGACCTGTCCAAGCTGTCAGCCACCTCGGAGTGGGTCTCCCCGCAGTTCTTCCTGCTGCTCGCCCGCGCTGCTCTCCCCAACCCCTCCGTCGGCTTCGTATGGGTGCAGTCGCCCTACCTGGGGCGCACGGCCTTCCACTACGGTGCGTTCCTCTGCATCTTGCCTTGTGCTGAGGCGCCTCAAGGCAGTTCTTCCTCCTGCTCGCCCGCGCTGCGCTCCCCAACCCTTCTGTTGCCATTATGTGGGTGCAGTCGCTCTACCTTGAGTGAACGGCCTTGCACTGCAGTGCATTCTTCTGCCCCTTGTGCTTGCTTGAGGCACCCCAAAGCAGATCGTCCTCCTCCTGCCCGCCCGCGCTGCGCCTCCCAGCCGTTCAGCGCTGCGCCTCCCAGCCGCGTTCAGCACTCGCCTCTGAGTTCCTGGGGCAGCTTCTGCCCGTCGCCGTGGGTCGTGCATGTGCCTCTGGAAGCCAACACTCACGTGCCGTCCCTCTCGCTCTCCCCGTCCGTCCTCCTCTTGCTCATGTGTGCCTCCCATTTTAGAGCTAGCCTCTGGGTTTCTGGGGCAGCTGCTGCCCTTCGCCATGGGCCACGTGCCTCTGGAGGCCAACACTCTGGACGTGAAGATGCCTGCGAGGGACGACACCATGGAGCTCATGCTCAAGGCGTGGTATGTGCTTGGTATGGTATGGGATGGTATGGTATGGTGTGGTGTGGTATGGTATGGTATGGTGTGGTGTGGTATGGTATGGTATGGTGTGGTGTGGTGTGGTGTGGTGTTGTGTGATATGGTATGGTAGGGTGAATGTCTGAAACACTCTATGTACCTTAAGAGGTCCCCAGCACTCTGGACGTGAAGATTCCCGCTAGGGACGATACGATGGAGCTCATGCTCAGGGGGTGGTAAGGGATGGCAGGGTGGTGGCATGGCATGAGTCGAGTCACGGTGTGTTGATGCTTCAGCCGTATGCCAGGAGGCCGACACTCAGGACGTGAAGGTGCCTTTCAGGGACGGCATCATGGCGCTCAGGCTGAAGGCATGGTATGTGTGCGGTATGGCATGGTATGTGTGCGGTATGGCATGGTATGTGTGCGGTATGGCATGATGTAGATGGCATGATGCGAAATGGCATGATGCGAGATGCCTTGATGCGAGATGGCATGATGCGAGATGGCATGATGCGAGATGGCATGATGCGAGATGACATGATGCGAGATGGCATCATGATGCGACATGGCATCATGATGCGACATGGCATGATGCGAGATGGCATGATGATGCGAGATGGCCTCATGATGCGAGATGGCATGATGCGGGATGACACGATGCAAGATGGCATCATGATGCGAGATGGCAGCATGATGCGGGATGACACGATGTGAGATGGCATCATGATGCGAGATGGCAGCATGATGCGAGATGGCATGATACGCGATGACATGATGCGAGATGGCATGATGCAAGATGGCATCATGATGCGAGATGGCATCATGATGCGAGATGGCATCATGATGCGAGATGGCATGATGCGAGATGGCATGCTGCGAGATGGCATCATGATGCGAGATGGCATGATGCGAGATGACATGCTGTGTTAGCCCCTGAACACTCTGGATGTGAAGTTGCCTGCTCGGAACGACACCGTGGCGCTCATGCCCGACACGTGGCAAGGGATGATGTGGCAAGGGATGAGCATAGAGTCCACATGTGAAGGGGTCGACATTCACTCCGCCACACCTGCACGCATCCACAGCTTGCATTGGCATGACCACGCCTGTATCAAGGCCTTGCCCACAGCACCAGGCGCCACAAGCACTTGGCGCTGTGGTTAGCTTGAGACCATGGGGGAGCGAGTGCAGTTCCGCCTCTTCCCTCCTGCTCTACTGTGACATCCCCATACCCACATCCATACCCACATCTATACCCCACATCCATATCCACACCCATACCCACATCCATACCCCATACCCATACCCACGTCCATACCCCATACCCATACCCACATCCATACCCCATACCCATACCCATACCCATACCCATACCCATACCCATACCCATACCCCATACCCATACCCATACCCATACCCCATACCCCATACCCATACCCATACCCATACCCATACCCATACCCATACCCATACCCATACCCATACCCATACCCATACCCATACCCGCCTTAAGACAGGAACTCCATGGCACAAAGATGCCACCTATCCATCGCCATGCCCCCAACCATGCTCCCATGAGCGCCGAGGACGTGGTAGTGTGGTTCTAGACGACGTGAGAGCGAGTGCAGTTCCACCCCAGCACGGACGACGTCGCCCTCCCCCTCCATGCATGCTCAGTCTAGCATCAACATGCCCATGGCATGCCTGTACCCCATGTCCCCATGCCCATGCTATCAGGAGCGGCAAGGACGTGGTAGTGTGGTTCAAGACGACGTGGGAGCGAGTGCAGTTCCACCCCACGACGGACGACATCGCGCTGCCTCTGCTGCCCTACCAGCAGCAGCTGCACGCCCAGGCCCAGCTCCTCCTGGCGCTGCTACCCCGCCCGCTGGTTGCTGTGCACTTCCGCTCCGAATTCATCGCCTTCAGAGTGGTGAGTCAACGAGGGGATAGAGGGAAGGGGGGACAGAGGGAAGGGGGGACAGAGGGAAGGGGGGAAAGGTTGTAAGGGGGGAAGGCGGGACAGAGGAGCTGCACGCCACGGCGCAGTGCCTGCTCGCCCTGCTGCCGCGGCCCCTCGATGCCGTGCACTTCAGCTCTGAGTTACTTGCGTTCAGAGTGGTGATTTGGGCAAGGGATAGAGCACGAGGGAGAGAGGGATCAGGGGTGCAAATTATGGAAGGAGCTGCATGCGACGGCCGCCGCCTACTCGCGCTGCTGCCCCGCCCGCAGCCCGCTGGTGGTTGTGCATTTCAGATCCGAGTTTGCTGCCTTCAGAGGGGTGAGTAGAGCACGTGAGTGGTGAGAGGGGGGGGGAGGGGGTATGGTACAGAGGACCCGTGTTTAATCGACTCATTACACGGCCTTGCATTGAAAAATCGACTCATTACACGGCCTTGCATTGAAAAATCGACTCATTATACGGCCTTGCATTGAAAAATCGACTCGTTACACACGGAGAGGGGGGGGAGGGGGTATGGTACGGGGGTATGGAACAGAGGACACGGAGAGGGGGGGGAGGGGGTATGGAACAGAGGACACGGAGAGGGGGGGGAGGGGGTATGGAACAGAGGACACGGAGAGGGGGGGGAGGGGGTATGGAACAGAGGACACGGAGAGGGGGGGGGAGGGGGTATGGTACGGGGGTATGGAACAGAGGACACGGAGAGGGGGGGGAGGGGGTATGGAACAGAGGACACGAAGAGGGGGGGGGAGGGGGTATGGAACAGAGGACACGGAGAGGGGGGGGGAGGGGGTATGGTACGGGGGTATGGAACAGAGGACACGGAGAGGGGGAGGGGAGGGGGTATGGAACAGAGGACACGAAGAGGGGGGGGGAGGGGTATGGTACGGGGGTATGGAACAGAGGACACGGAGAGGGGGGGGAGGGGGTATGGTACGGAGGTATGGAACAGAGGACACGGAGAGGGGGGGGGAGGGGGTATGGAACAGAGGACACGGAGAGGGGGGGGGAGGGGGTATGGAACAGAGGACACGAAGAGGGGGGGGGAGGGGTATGGAACAGAGGACACGGAGAGGGGGGGGAGGGGGTATGGAACGGAGGACACGGAGAGGGGGGGGGAGGGGTATGGTACGGGGGTATGGAACAGAGGACACGGAGAGGGGGGGGAGGGGGTATGGAACAGAGGACACGAAGAGGGGGGGGGAGGGGGTATGGTACGGGGGTATGGAACAGAGGACACGGAGAGGGGGGGGGGAGGGGGTATGGAACAGAGGACACGAAGAGGGGGGGGAGGGGTATGGTACGGGGGTATGGAACAGAGGACACGGAGAGGGGGGGGAGGGGGTATGGAACAGAGGACACGAAGAGGGGGGGGGAGGGGGTATGGTACGGGGGTATGGAACAGAGGACACGGAGAGGGGGGGGGAGGGGGTATGGAACGGAGGACCTGCACGCCACGGCCTCCCGCCTGCTCACCTGCTCCCCCCGGCCCCTTGTTGCCGCGCACTTTTGTCCGAGTTCATTGCGTTCAGCGTGGTGAGTGGCGGAGGACGGGGGGGGGAAGGGGGGGGAGAGGGGGGGGGAGTAGAGGGGAGTGGGGACGAGTACTCATCTGCCCGCTCCCTCATCATGGTCGGGATGCCATCCCCTTTTCTCCCGTCATGGAGGGACCTTTGAGTTGATTCAGAAATCACCCGGTTGTCGTCACGCTCCCCTCCCCTTGTTCTCCCATCACGCACCAGCACGAGGGCATGGGGCATCAGCTCGAGGGCATGAGGCATGAGGGGGGCAATGCCAACCAACTCGTTCCAACGAGCCTTATATCCTGCCAGTTTCCCCCCTCCCGTTTAGTTTTGAGGCGCCTCAAAACTGCCAGTCTCCCCCCCCCGTTTAGTTTTGAGGCGCCTCAAAACTGCCAGTCTCCCCCTCCCGTTTAGTTTTGAGGCGCCTCAAAACTGCCAGTTCCCCCCTCCCGTTTAGTTTTGAGGCGCCTCAAAACTGCCAGTCTCCCCCTCCCGTTGAGTTTTGAGGCGCCTCAAAACTGCCAGTCTCCCCCTCCCGTTGAGTTTTGAGGCGCCTCTAAACTGCCAGTCTCCCCCTCCCGTTGAGTTTTGAGGCGCCTCAAAACTGCCAGTCTCCCCCTCCCGTTGAGTTTTGAGGCGCCTCTAAACTGCCAGTCTCCCCCTCCCGTTTAGTTTTGAGGCGCCTCAAAACTGCCAGTCTCCCCCTCCCGTTGAGTTTTGAGGCGCCTCAAAACTGCCAGTCTCCCCCTCCCGTTGAGTTTTGAGGCACCTCAAAACTGCCAGTTCCCCCCTCCCGTTTAGTTTTGAGGCGCCTCAAAACTGCCAGTCTCCCCCTCCCGTTTAGTTTTGAGGCGCCTCAAAACTGCCAGTTTCCCCCTCCCTTTTAGTTTTGAGGCGCCTCAAAACTGCCAGTTTCCCCCTCCCTTTTAGTTTTGAGGCGCCTCAAAACTGCCAGTTTCCCCCTGCCATTTCGTTTTGAGGCACCTCAAAACTGCCAGTTTCCCCCTCCCGTTTAGTTTTGAGGCACCTCAAAACTGCCAGTTTCCCCCTCCCGTTTAGTTTTGAGGCGCCTCAAAACTGCCAGTCTCCCCCTCCCGTTTAGTTTTGAGGCGCCTCAAAACTGCCAGTCTCCCCCTCCCGTTTAGTTTTGAGGCGCCTCAAAACTGCCAGTTTCCCCCTCCCTTTTAGTTTTGAGGCGCCTCAAAACTGCCAGTTTCCCCCTCCCTTTTAGTTTTGAGGCGCCTCAAAACTGCCAGTTTCCCCCTGCCGTTTCGTTTTGAGGCACCTCAAAACTGCCAGTTTCCCCCTCCCGTTTAGTTTTGAGGCACCTCAAAACTGCCAGTTTCCCCCTCCCGTTTAGTTTTGAGGCGCCTCAAAACTGCCAGTCTCCCCCTCCCGTTTAGTTTTGAGGCGCCTCAAAACTGCCAGTCTCCCCCTCCCGTTGAGTTTTGAGGCGCCTCAAAACTGCCAGTCTCCCCCTCCCGTTGAGTTTTGAGGCGCCTCAAAACTGCCAGTCTCCCCCTCCCGTTTAGTTTTGAGGCGCCTCAAAACTGCCAGTTCCCCCCTCCCGTTTAGTTTTGAGGCGCCTCAAAACTGCCAGTTTCCCCCTCAAAACTGCCAGTCTCCCCCTCAAAACTTCCATTCTCCCCCTCAAAACTGCCAGTCTCCCCCTCAAAACTGCCAGTCTCCCCCTCCCGTTTTGTTCCACCGCTGTCCCCTCCGTCAGCAAGAGGACCTCATGCATGAGATGACGGCGGTAAGGTCGAAGCGCCCATGGTGCAGCGGCCTCCTTTCTCATGCGCCTCCCGGCCTCTCTCATGCGCCCCCCGGCCTCTCTCACTCGCCCCCATGGTGTGTCTTGATTCCCTTCTCTCTTCTCCCACTGTGCCCCAGCAAGAGGACATGCTAGGTCAGGGTGGCTATGCGAACGCGTCGATGGTGCAGCAGCGGCTGGACTGGTGCGTGGGTGAGGCGGAGCGCCTCATCGCCACCGTCCGAGACTCGCTCTCCCACCCCTCCCCTGCTGCTCCTGGGTCCGCTGATTCACACGCAGCTGACAGCAGCAGCAGCAATGCCACAAGCACCAGCAGCACTGGTGGCAATAGCAGTGCCACCAGCAGCAACAGCAGCAGCACCGGTCCATCCGTGTTCATAGCAGCGGATGTGCCGTTCAACGAGTCAACGGCGCCCGCGCGGTCGGACTCGTGGGGCGAGATGGTGCAGTGGTACGGCGGGGACAGCCGCGTGCTCCAGTCATCCTCTGCTGCCTTGCACCGGTTGAGGAGGAACGTGACTGGCACTGTGATGATCGACGAGCTCATGCCTGAAGTCAACGCGTTCGACCCAGGTGAGCAATGGGCAGAGCTACTCTCGCTCTCCCACTCAAACTGCTCCTCCATTTGAATGTGCATTTCACAGTGGTACGGCTGGGACAGCTGCAGACTCCAGTCGTCGCCGGCCACACTACACCCGGTGAGGGCGAGCGGGAATGGCACAGTCATGATGCCAGGGGAAATGCGCTCGACCCAGGGGAGTGATGACTGGACAGAGCTCCAAGCCTCTCTTTGCAACAGCACGTGCGAGGTGGGGGGGAGTGCCACACGTCCTTGAAGGGGGATTCTAGACAAGCTTGTGTGCCCTCAAGCGGCCATCCTCCTTGCATTCTGTGCTCAGCACTCCTCTCCTTCCCCACCCCCTTCCTCGCCTTGCTCTCCTTCCTCTCCTTCCTCTCGCTCGCTCCCACCAGGCATCGTGGCAAGTCTAGACAGGCTTGTCTCAGGCAAGCTCACATCCCCCTGGCCTCGCCTCTCCTTCCCCTGGCCTCGCCTCTCCTTCCCCTGGCCTCGCCTCTCCTTCCCCTGACTCCCCTCGCCCTCGCTGCTCCCGCCTTTCATCTCCCTGGCATCGTGGCCATCCTAAACAAACTGGTGTGCGCCCATGCGGACATCCCCCTTGCCCCATCTCTCCTCCCGCTTCTTGCTCCTCCCTCTCTCCGCTCCCTGCAGGCATCGTGGCCATCCTCGACAAGCTGGTGTGTGCGCATGCAGACATGTCTCATCCCTCTCACTTAACGCTGCTCCCGCTCTCTCCGCTCCCTGCAGGTCTCGTGGCCATCCTCGACAAGCTGGTGTGCGCGCATGCAGACATGTCTCACCCCTCTCACTTAACGCTGCTCCCGCTCTCTCCGCTCCCTGCAGGCATCGTGGCCATCCTCGACAAGCTCGTGTGCGCCCATGCGGACATCTTCCTAGCGGGGTCGTGGAACTGTGGGGGCGGCCGGGGGTATGAGAATGACATAGTGAGGCACAGGAGGCTTTTCAACTACTCGGATGACACGATGCAAAGGTGGGCAGAGAAGCGTTGAAAGACGAGGAGGCAAGGCCAGCGAATAAAAGACGTGGAGGCTCAAACTAAGTTGGCCCACCAGGCTCTTTCTTTTTGTGTTACTGTACGATGCTTGCATTGGGGAGCAGCAGGCAGGCCACATGAAGCCCAATCGGTGATAGTTGTTAACGTGAGAAGGAATGATAACTAGAGATGGAAACCTAGAACAAATACTAGTTGGTTGTACTCACTAGAAGCATACTTTAGTCTAGCCTATAACTTCTACATAGCTAATATGTATAAGTTGACAATAGTATGGTATTATTAAAACCACATGCTAGAATAGCACACCTGAGGAGCTCTTGAAAAAATGTTTCGTTTACGGGCAGACCCTTGGGTGCGTTTTCTATTTCCGAAATGGTATGGGACCCGAAATTGTCTGTAATGCGAAGTAGCTTTGCTACGTTATTGATGCGCGACGATTGATTTGGCGTCAGATGCTCGGCGGATGAAGTTGCGACTGACCGCTCACACAGCTCAGTTTTTTCAAGAGCTCCATAGGTGTGCAATAGGTTTTTAACCCGAGGTTCAACAAGGTCGCATTTCGCGCAACCCATGTGGCTGTTCGGCTCACAAGTTGCACAGTTCACCTTTGCCCTAGTCGCAAGTCGCGGTCGAGGGTGCCTCGTAATGTGAAGCTTGAACACGAACGCCGAATATATCCGAGGTACAATATGTTTTTTTCGTTTCACCAAGCTGGCGAAAAGTCAAATGAGTCGCGCACGCGTTTCCCGCCTCGTCGCACAATCGTCAAATCGGTACCACACTACGATTGTATCATTGTTCAGCTGCCCAAAAAACGCACCTCGCAAAATCATACTGGGAACCCGTTTTTTTTCAAAAGAACCATCTTCAAGAACGGCGCTCTTGAAGCCCCCCCTATGCTATTTTAGCCTGTGGTTTTAAGTACCGTGTGTTTAATGGGTAGTTATACATGATGCACTTACTATTCGTCACTCTGGTGTTACCGTACGTAGTGCGTGTATCCTCTATTGTATAAAGCGTTTTATTTTCTACCCTAGAGTGTATATCATTATGGCAAGCTTGTCAAATATGTGTATCTGTTATGTTTACATAGACCGTATAGGGTCACCTTTTAGAGGGTACAATACTTAGGTATATCCATCTGTACTCTCACTCTAATTCATCACTTCTCTCATTCCGATATGGTATCACGCGTAGGTTAGGATCCCCCACCTACCGCTTCCGCTTGTCACCTAGCTAGGCCCCGCCGCGCCTCCCCCCTGGGCCCCGTCGTGCCCCCTCGCCTAGCCCCGTCGCGACCCCCCCCTGGGCCCCGACGTGCCCCTAGCCCTGCGGCGCCCCTCCTGGGCCCCGTCGCGACCCCCTAGCCCCGTCGCGACCCCTAGCTCCGTCGCGATCCCCCTGGGCCCCGTCGTGCCCCTAGCCCTGCCGCGCCCCTCCTGGGCCCCGTCGCGACCCCCTAGCCCCGTCGCGACCCCCTGGGCCCCGTCGCGACCCCCCTAGCCCCGTCGCGACCCCCCTGGGCCCCGTCGTGCCCTTAGCCCTGCCGCGCCCCTCCTGGGCCCCGTCGCGACCCCCTAGCCCCGTCGCGACCCTCCCAGGCCCCGCTACGCCCCTCGCCCTGTAGCGCCCCTCCTAGGCCCCGTAGCGCCCCTCCTGGGCCCCGTCACGCCTGCAGGCCCCGTCGCCCCCCTGCCCGGTCTCGTCGCGCCCGGCCGGCCCCGTCGCACCCGCCAGGCCCCGTCGCACCCGCCCGGCCCCGTCGCACCCGCCCGGCCACTTTGCGCCCGGCCCGGCCCCGTTGCGCCCGCCCGGCCCCGTCGCACCCGCCCGGCCCCATCGCACTTGCCTCAGGTGTCCTTGGTCGCTTTTGTCGTGCGGAGGGCATCACCCAGACGTTCACCCTACCGGACTCCCCACAGCAGAATGGGGTCGCTGAGCGACGCATCGGTTTGGTCATGGAGGTGGCTCGCACCTCCATCATCCATGCCAGTGCACCCCATTTTCTGTGGCCGTTTGCTGTGCGCTACGCTTCTCACCAGCTTAACTTGTGGCCGCACCCTCAGCAGCCGCAGGTTTCGCCGACCCGTCTTTGGACTGGGTCTCCTGGTGACGCGTCTGCGTTCCACGTCTGGGGCTGCCTTGCTCACGTCCGTGCCTCCGGCATGGACAAGCTCACTGCCCGCACCCTTCCCTGCGTCTTCCTCGGTTTTCCCCTTGACGCGTCCGACTGGCACTTTTACCACCCGCCGTCTCACCGCTTCTTTCACTCTCGCGACGTCACCTTTGACGAGTCCGTCTCCTACTACCGTCGCTTCCCCCACCGCGGTCCCCCGGTTACCCCCCCCCCTGTTCCTGGTCACTCCTTCCCCGGTAGTCCCTGCCCCCCCCCTCCTCCTCCCCGTCCTTCCCCCTCTGGTGTGTCCCACGTCACCCCCCTTCCGTCGGTGGACCCGGTTGAGGAGTCTTCTGACTCTGGTGGCCCTGCTGCGCAGTCCTTGCCGGCCGCCCCTCCCCCGGCGTCCCCTCCCCAGTCCCCTCCTCCACCGCCTTCGCCGCCGCTGCAGCCGTAGTTGTCGCTGCCGCCGCCGTCGCAACACCCGTTCGTTGACTCTGGGGGTGCTACTGTGGAGTGTGCCGGTGGTAGCCGAGGAGCCGCTTGCAGTCCCCGTGTCGCCGTTGTGCCGCCGCAGCAGCAGTCCCCGCCAGTGTCAGCCCTTCGCCTGCTCGGCCTTCTGTCCCCTGACCCTGCGGTTGTTCCTCTCCGCCCGTCTCCTCCTCTTCCTGTCTACGGCCCTGTGTTCCCTCCGCCGGACTCGTCCCCGGCCCGTCTTCCTCCTCGTTCCCCTCCTGTGTCCCCTCCCCTGTCTCCTGACCCGACTCCTCCGTCGCATGTCTGGTCTCACCGTCCCTCCCGTGCTCGTCCTGCCTCGCCTGTCTTGCGCTCCCACCCTATGTTGCTTCGTTCCCACGCGTCTCGTCCTCCCCTTCTCCCGTCGCCTCCTCCGTCCTCCCTTGTTGTTGCACCCCCCCCCGCTGTCTGACTACCTTCATGCCGCGCGTCCTCTTGTTCCTCGGGTCCTTGCCTCTCTCGTTACCGACCCGTCTGTTCCGGTCTCGTGCCTTGACGCTCTTGTTGCTGCGGTCGCTGACTTCGCCTCTACCCGCCGCCTTGACTACGCCACCGCTCTGGTCTCTGACCCTGCCTGTCCTCCGTCTGTCGGGGGTGCTCCTGCCCTTGGCAGTGACGTCCTGGAGGACCGCCAGTTCGAGCTTGCTTTCCTGTCCGAGGCTGCTCCCCATCTCTGTTCCATGCTGCTAGTCCCTGAGGGTGACCCAGACGCTTTCGACATCCCGACCCCTCGCACTTACGCTGAGGCGACCTCGGGACCTTGGGCCTCTCAGTGGATTGCTGCCATGGAGCAGGAGATGGCATCTTGGAGATCCACCGGCACCTTCGTCGACGCAGTTCCCCCGCCTGGGGTGAACGTAGTCGATGGCCGCTGGCTCTTCAAGGTGAAGCACCCTCCTGGAGAGCCGCCTGTGTTCAAGGTGCGCTACGTGGCTAGACCGTGGTGGGGGAAGCGACGGTAGAAGGAGACGGACTGGTCAAAGGTGACGTCGCGAGAGTGAAAGAAGCGGTGAGACGGCGGATGGTAGAAGTGCCAGTCGGAAGCGTCAAGGGGAAAACCTAGGAAGACGCAGGGAAGGGTGCGGGCAGTGAGCTTGTCCGTGCCGGAGGCACGAACGTGAGCAAGGTAGCCCCAGACATGGAACGCAAACGCGTCACCGGGAGACCCGGTCCAAAGACGGGTCGGCGAAACCTGCGGCCGCTGGGGGTGCGGCCACAGTTTAAGCTGGTGAGCAGCGTAGCGCACGGCGAACGGCCACAGAAAATGGGGTGCACTGGCATGGATCATGGAGGTACGAGCCACCTCCATGACCAAACCGATGCGTCGCTCAGCGACCCCATTGTGCTGTGGGGAGTCCGGCAGGGTGAACGTCTGGGTGATGCCCTCCGCACGACAGAAGCGACCAAGGACACCTGAGGCAAACTCGCCACCACGGTCGGAGTGAAGACGCAAGACAGGGAGACCTCGGTGGACACGCGCAGAGACAAGCCAGGGGATGAGAGCGTCAGGTACGTCGGCCTTTCGCTCCAGGGGAAAGACTGTGTTGTAGCGAGTGAAGTCGTCGACAAGCACGAGGAAGTAGCGCTCTCGACGCGATCCATGGACGGGGGCGGGGCCCCAGACGTCCATGTGCAGGGTCTGCAGCGGCGCGGCGGTAGGGGGAAACGAGGAGGAGTGAGGGGCACGGCGAAGCCGACCCTCGACGCAAGGCGTGCAAGGCGGGGGGGGGGAGGAGGGAAACGCGGGGAACGAACCAGGGAGACCAAGGACGAGACCGTGCTGGGACATGTGACGCAGACGCGGGAGCGCAGGGTGATCTAGGCGGTGGTGCCAAAGGAGAGTCGGGTGAGTGAGGGACCGACAGGAGCAGGTAGCAGCAATTTGGGTAGACGCAGCCACCTGAAGGGGCGCCCCAGCCGGGGGGGTCACAGGGTTTAGGGTGAACAGGCCGGACATCGGGTCCCGGGGGAACGTGGAAAGGGGGCACCAGCGGCGGCCTCGGTACAGACAGCATACCGCTCGTGACCTGGGAACGTAGTGGTGACGCCAAGGTCCTGGAGGCAGCCGACACCAACTAGGTTCCTGGAGAACGAGGGGATATGCAGACCTGTGAGAAAGCCCGAAGGAACCGCCGGACAGGGAAGGGTGGTGGAACTGCGGGCGAAGACTGGACCGCCGGAGGGGTCAGCAAGAGAAACTGCAGCAGGAACAGGAAGCGGCGTCAGCGTAGTGGAGTCGCGGAAGAAACACCGGGAAGCGCCAGAGTCCAAAGTGAAGGAAAGCGAAGCAGCGGCATCCGGCGACGGGGCAGCAGCGGAAGCACCAAGACTAAACAAAGCAGGAGCTCTTACGCCTGACGCAGCAGGGGAGGCTAAGCTAGGCAAACCTACACTGGACGACAAGGAGTAATAAGCGGGAAGCACACTAAAGTCATCAGCATACATCACATGCAGGGCAGAAACAATGGCATCCATGTCCATGTAAAAAATCTGAACCCTACGACTAAGCAAACTGTGCCAGTCCGGGAGGTCGGGCGACGGGCCGAAGCGCTGACGAAACAGGTCGTCCAGGCGACGAAAACAGCGAGTAGTGGGATGACCGATCTTACCGCAAACGAAACCGCGGCGAGGACCGGTCTGGATCTGGTACTGACAGCGCACGCCTC